AGCTATCAAAACGTCTGCCATTTGAAATAAATAAATAAATCCTTATAAAGTTAACTTTGTGTGATTGTGGTGGTGGTGACCACTTCAAATTGACTTGAAGAGATCTTGGACTAAGTAGCGGCTTCTCTCTCTTCCTCTCATTTATATGAAATTGGGATTATTAAAAAATAGCAGATTTTACTAAAAGCTGAATTTTGATGGTAAAAATTCGGTAAATATCTGAAGTTTTAAGGCTTGCATTATAAGTTGAATCAAGTTGAAGCGTGAAAAGCCGAGTCAAATCAATTATATCACCACTTTAACTAAGTCATTATGCCTTTACGCATACTTCATTTATGCGAATTTTTATGACATAGTATTAACTAAACCTCCTACTCTATCAGGTATATTTCCTATATGCCATTTATTCCATTATATTTATTGAATTTTACAGTTTAAACAATACTTTCAGCCAGTACTTAAGGATTTTTTAACCTTCCCTCTGCGGAAAAATGCACTCTTAAACCTCATTGAAAGTGAAAATTATTTTAGATATGGTTTTGTCAGTATTGATAATCACTGCTATTTTTATTCAGGTACCTTATCTTCCCCCTTTTTCTCTGCGCTATTGCTTCAGAAATAGGCCGCTAAATGTCATTGGAAAATATCGATGTCCAAATCTGCTTCACCATCGGTCAGATTATCGTTTATGACCTATTTGAGCGACACACTCCTTCTGACTGGCTAGTCTCCTTGCTCTTCATTTACAATGGCACTTATTCTACAAACGGCATTTCAATAGGGATAGAATAGTAACTTAAGCCAACTCCATCTAAGGTGGCTTGTCACTCCATTAAAATCGTTCAGACCTCGATTGCAATCCACATTTCATTAGTAATAGGACAAGCCGATGCATCAAAATCTTCGAAGTCTGTTTTTCTCATATTAATTGTTCACAGAGTCGTTGAATGATTATTTGCCTTTGCGTTTTCAATTCTGAAAATTCACCTACGTCACCATTGGCTTACGCTTGAATGTATCATTCTTCACATTTAGCTATTTAATATTGTACCATCATTTAAAATTTATATTTTTTAACTTAGATAAAATAATGGTTTTACGCTGTGGGTAGTTTTGAAGACGTCTACTTCTATAAATGCAGCAACTCTCTAATTTATTAACAAAATGTGTTTAAAAATTAAATTTTCTACTCGTAACATAGTGACGAAAATGGATTTTTTTCAATGGCCGACGACAATAATAAATATTTCTTAACTGGAGAATTTAAGGTTTGTTTTCCAAGGGATTTCATTTTGTTTTGGTCCTTGGTGGTTTGTCCACTTTTCCCGAACTTCTTTCTCCAAGCATTCCAACTTTCAAATGATTGAATAATTCGAAAATGATTGGTATTCAAAAATGAAAAAAGTGATTATTTCATTAGAGGCATATGAACATTGTTCGAGGCAAATAATTACAACTTGAGACTTAATGTTAAATAAAGAATTAACAATTGATTTATTTTAACGATAAACAATATAATTCGTCTACTCCTTTGTTGGGATATTTAATAGACAAAAATTGGAAAGGTAAATAATGTCCTTATGTGAGCACCTGTGCCGTTGACCTAGTGGTCAAGGCGCTAGTCGAGCAAATTCGAGATCATCCCATATGAGCTCATCCGGTGATGAAAAGCGAAAGGTTCTTAAATAGGCTGACCCAGGATACCCTTGCTCAACCCAAGTTAATTGTTGTTAAAATCAATCTTGATTGGTTGTTCCAGTTTAAAACTGACCCTGAGAAGTGCTGAGAGAGATTTAAATCATGGCTATCAATCTGCACTTATAAATTGAAGTGCAAAACATTACCAAGAGTGGTCAAAGAGAGTGTGTCCGTGGGTACAGAAACTTCTCAGACAGTCACCAATCAATTTTTCATAAAGTGAAATAGCACTGATTGCATTTAATGCTTAATCAGGTGGGCAATTGCCAACGTATGCAACACTCCTTACTTCATGCATCCTACCTCTTTACTACTGTTGGGGTAGCTTAGGTAAGTTCGTTAAAAATTTAAAAGTAGGGATTTTTCCAGAGAAGATTATGCTGTATCCTCTAAAATACCAGCAAACCAATCCGTAGTAATAAACAGGAGTGGTATGTGTTTAAAGATAAGTTCCATTCAAAACAAAGTGCCTTCAACTTTTACCTTTTCTCACCCCAGCGGAAACTTCAGGTACTTCTCGTGAATTTGGTGTCTTCAAGAAGTTGAAGGCACTTTTTTTGGATAAAACTTACCTTTCAACGCAAGTCCATGGGAGTATTAGAGGCCAGGAAAACGATAGTGATTATACTTTTTCAAACTCAACTGGACTAGTTGAGACGCCATAAATTAGAATGCCAACCTTAATGTTGATATTGATTCAAGTCCGAACCAACTCAAAAGAAGTAGCATTTGCTTCTCAGGTCGACAAGGGAGGAGATAGTTAGCCATAATCACATAGAATGAAGCACCGCCTTCAACCTTTACCACAAAGCAATTCCCCTCAGGTGTGGCTAAGGATCCACTTGCTCGTGTGTTACCTTGCTTACAAAACTAGCCAAGTAAAAAGTGAAGTGAATTGTAGAATAAATTTACGATTTCACGCGTAGTGTCCGATTCACATTCATTCTCTCAAAGGTCAATAAGTTTATCTGAGCTTATTGCTTCTCTCAGACCCTCGCCCTATTTAACTTTTACTATTGACCAGTTACTATTCCCATTTGAAGAAGAATCGTAATTTTTCTGCATTTTTAGGGTATTTGGAATGGTGCGAAAGAAATTCATACTAACAATGAGGGGAAACTATGATGCAATTGAAAAGTCATTAATGGAATAAATATAATGATTTTCATAATTAAATATATTCTATTTCATTTGGACGGTCAGCTCCTATACCTGTCTCGTTAATTTCAAAGCGTTTAAAATAAGCCAGTTCCTACTTATCTCTTTGTGTCAACATTAAAAAAATATAATCGCACCATCGCCACGTCATGTGCAAAATAAATTATTAAATAGCTTAATGTAATTAATTACAGCCTATTTATCAACCACATTCGGATGTCCACTGTTTCACAATTGGTGCACTTAATTCCATCAATTGTCGACTAATGGAGCATTTACACGACCCATCTTTCTAATATTGACTTTGGCATAGGTTGAAAATTCGGGTGGTTGCCGGTATGCTTTACATTTACTTCACCAAGTGCCTCTCTTCTCATCACCGTGCCTCACAACTTGTTAGCTCTACTACTCAGTCATTCAATCCTTGAACAGGAAAATCCAACACTGATTCGAACGCTTTAATTATGCATGCATTGTTATTCACAGGACAGTTTTCGCCCTCTGCAAATGGCTGCACAACAACGGTGACATTGATTCGCCTTGACCTTGTTAGCCACTGCCGACATACCAAGGAGAAACGCAAGTCCCAACAGTTGTAAGTTATAATTGATAAATACTCCCAGTCTCGTCGTAAACCTCATCCTTTTGACTTACTTCACAGCAATTACAAAAGACGAATGATGATAAAGCAATTCCTACTGATTTTAAACCTCAGAATCTTGGAATGTATCTCCGAGGCCTTTGGATCCAAATGGAAGTAGTGGGGGAGACTGGAGATCTAGTCAAAATGTGATAGCAAGAGCAATGCCAAGACGAGAAATTGCCGCTTGTACAATACTACAATTACAATTAGATAAGTTTACCTTGCTGTTTGATGGGAATGACTATTTTCATCAGTATGGGGTTGATGAACACTTAGTGGCTACCAATGAATATGAAGCTAATGAGGCAGATACAAATTGTGATGGGGGATTGGAAGGTAGCGATATTTTAATAGAAGAAAACGTAAAATTATATTATTGTGGATTAAGGACATCGATACTTGTTCAGATCATTTACTTGCTAATCGTCATGTCGGGTTAATCTCAGATAACCGACAATGATAAATGTCCTGCGTTGTTGACAATTAAAACAAAGCGAGTGATGTTGAGAAAAAGGGGACCCTCAGATGTCAAAGCCAAAATGGAAAAGCTGCCTTGACCAAAGTTTTAATTTTGTACACAAATCCTTAAAATAAATGCAAATATGAACATTTTCAAAAAAATGTTTTAAAATAGGAATTTCAGATAAAGTAACCGCAAAAATCAAAAGCAAAGAAGTTATCTAGAGTTACTGGCATATAGAAATACGAGTTTCGCAAGATACTCGAACAGTTGACGATCATTGTTATTTTTAAAAATTGATTAGGCTCCCAAGAAATATTTTCAAAGGGCAAATAAGGTGTCTTTGCTTATTTGTTTATTTCATTCTTGGGACTATTTTCAATAAAAAGTACGCAATACGGGTCAATTAAAGCGTGTATAATTGTTGGCTTTTGATTTTGTCCCGTTCATATTTGCAATTAGCATTATCACCAAGCGTCAGTAAAACTTTTGACTAAAAACGGAAATGTGATATGGTTAAAAATTATTTTCACTTTTTACATTGCTACTTAGGGGAGGATAAGCAAGTAAAAACTTTGCGTACTCAAAGCGAGTTTTAATAAATATGACATAATGACCTATATTTTGTATGTGGGGTGTACGATAGTGTTACCGCCACGTGGTGCACCCTGGGCAACGTATACGCATACGGCGAAAAGAATTATTAACCGGCAGTTGACTTCTGACTCCAAACTATTATGATCCGACCGTATGTCATATTCGACCCCTTCCACAGTACCAACTCACCTTTTTCTCTAACTTTGTCTGTCTCCTTTGCATCTGTAGATAATTATTCCGTCCCCATTTCGACTTTTTGTTACTTTGATGTTTCTACTCCTCTCTGTGCAGTCAAAAGTCAGCTAAAGTTCTAATAATAACTATCAAAACGCCTGCCACTTGAAAAATTATTATGTTGAAGAATTTCTAATGTATTTTGCACAAGATATGCTTTAAAAAAGAACAAATTCCTTTCTCATTATGCTTAGTTTAAATGTTATTTACACTTCAATAAATTCTTTTAGCATTTTTATCTGTATCATTTATAGAGACTGCTTATGATCACTTAGATATCATATTTTCGAGTTTTTGCTTAGATGGCAACTTAACAATTTATGCAAATGAGTGCAGTCAAGATATTAAAATGAAAATGTTTAAAATTAAGCATAAGTGTTATTTTATAAAAATGTCGAGAATATATTATCCGAAGTAAGTTGTTTGAATTTACTCAAGGGATCCGCGCATTCTAATTTCCCTTCTTCTATGATATTGAGGGTCGGATTCTTGATTTGTTTTCTGTCTCTTGTTTCCACCGTTGTATTGGCATCTAATAACTGCCTCAGACATGCTAATGCAAATTGGTGTTTCACATTCCATGCAGAAAACGCGACTTTTGAAAAGGCAAGATCTAAATGTTGGGATTCAAACTCATCTATCGCTACAGTTCCTGATTTCCTTACGCGTCATTTTGTGCTTAAATATCTAAATGAGGTATGTATCTCTTTCTATGGAAATGAATTTTATTGGATGTCAGTTAAAACTTGTGGTGTCGCTATTTAACTTTTGTTTTTCTTTCATTAATAGAATTATAACCTCACAGAGAATGTGTTCATAGGATTACACTTTTCGTTTGGTGTTCTTCGATGGGATTCAGGTTATCCAGCCGTTGTGGATACTTTCTGGAAAGAACCTCCAAAACCGCTTCATGGAAAATGCGTTACCATGTCGCCTGGTTTGTTGTATTCCATATTTTATACCCATTTGCGGACATTATTTTCAAATAATATATTCCTTTGTAGATGGCTTGTGGAACCTGGTGGATTGTACTGAATCGCATCCATTTTTATGCAGTTCCATGGAAAGATTTTCTGATGCCAAATTCCAAACTGACTTTACCATTCAGGAGTGCCCAAAAGGTTTCCATTTGCTTGGTCATCGATGTATTCTCGTAAATATTACGCAAAATTTTGATTGATGTTTTTTGATGAAATTTTTTCATGTTTTTTCTCTAACTATATAGTTATACACCGAAGAGAAATCTAATTGGACTGAAGCGAATTTGATGTGCAGAGATGTTGGTGCGGAACTGTTGACTATTCAATCCTTCCGTGAACAGGGTTCGCTTTACCATTTTCTAAATATATCAGACTTGTTTTCTTAATTTTATTTAAAATTAAGTGGGTTCTATGCAAAATTTTGCTATCCTTTTCGATATCACTATCATCAATTGCACCGTCAATTGATAATTCTGGCCTTTTTAGACTTAGATAAATTCTCCTTTGTAACTGCACTTTCCGTTTCTGAGCACAGTCCGATATGCTGCTGGTCAACTTGAGCACATGAGTTGATGTGCACTATTTGCACCAGCCCTCAATCGCAGTAATGCGTCAAAATGGTAGAGTAGTGAAGAAATTTTTTGTTGAAGTTATCTTCGATTACGTAGTTCAAGTTCTGTTACACTATGTTAGTTCAAATTATAACGATTTAAATTCATTTTTTGCTTCGCATTATATTAACCACAAATAACGGCTGTTTGTAATTATATCCCTTAAAATAGATGTGGTATTGATAGGATAGCTTCCCCAATTTTTTTGCAATTACTTGTCTTATTTGATTCTATTGTTCTCCAATCGGCTGTTGCGTGTTGATTCTGCAGCAGGCGTTATAGAACTCATTTGGCGATTCAAGCGCATTGTTTATCGTTTTGTACACTTGAATATTATATTTCGATGAGATGGCAGTGTTCTTGGAAAGAAAATAAAATGTTCTTTAATGTGGTGGTTTTGCTAGCGTAGCGTGATGACCTATGGATTTAACCTAAAGTTCCATCCCGCCTGAACCAGTTAAACTACATTTTTGTTAAATCCTGTCCACACAATAACCCTTTTAACTATCGTTTATCGAATTATGCGTGCTCAATCTAATGTTCGAGTGATTTTCAATTTTATAAACACTTTTGTTCTTGCATTAATTTACCAATAATCTTAATCAATTACTGGGGGCCAAATCTCGAAGAGGAGTTGGTAAATACACATTTAATGCATTTCAGAGTTTTTGTTTCTCTTAACCCAGTTTTGAATTCTAATTTATGTGGGGATTTACCTATGGGTGCTAATTAATCTGCTTTCGGTTAGGTTAGCTCAATCATATATTTTATTTCTCCTAAACATGAGTATCGACTTTCGTTATTGTGAAAATTCATAAAACGGAAGTAGCATTACTTGATTTCATGAAAGTGAATCGAGCGAAAAATTGAGTAGTTGCCGAAACGGAGTATTTCGTTCAGTTTAAATGTTTGACTTCATTATGAAAATGAAATAAATTGCTCTTCTCATCATTCTACCTCAAATTTGATTGGGGTGAGAAATGTCTTCCAATTATTAATTTTTCCTTCGGATTGGTTGAACCTGTCTCCTTTGAATTATCCACGGCATACGTCAAGTACTTCATTTTTTCATTAACTTCAGCTTTAAGCACATGTACATCAACGTTTCTTTGCGCTAGGTTTCAAGGTAATTTATAAGGTGCTTTGTGACCTGTCCTCAATTATGGTATTCAATGTCCAACTGTATTTTCTCATTTTGATTTCGGGTTAGATTTGTTTAATCAAAACCTAAAACCCTTAATCAAGACAGGGGCTACTGATATCACAAGGGGGTAAAAGGTTGGTCGATTGTAATACAGAACAGAGGAAGCGGGAAGGAAAAAACACGGAGTACCCCCCTCCCCCCCGTTAATTAAAATTTTCTCTTAATTTCATCGTCATGTTTTTTTATATATAAAAAACGGTTTGCCATCGAAATTTTTCCATTTGCGTACAACTTTCCACTATGACTGTTGTTAAATAATTCGCGACAGCATTTCTCTGTCGGATTCATCTTTCCTATTTTGCCCCTTTATATGCCAAACACTTTTTTTGACACCTATGTCTTTAATTGTCTTCTTTAACGCCTTCCTGCCAATTATGAGGTATAAAACTCCAGGATTTTTGTTTTCATAGCGTTTTGGCAATTTCCTATCCGCGTTCACTTGACGATTGGCATTAGTGAGTAAATCATGTAGATCTACTTGGCTTCTCGAAAGCATTATCTGTCATCATGACTTTCAACTATTACAGCATCGGGAGGCTGGACTTTGTTCATTCAATAGAGAGGCCAAGTGCCAACTACAAGTTTTTTTTTGAAACATTTTCTTTGCGCCATTTCGTTGGTATCAATCGTCATAATATTATGACGTCTACTCTTCAAGCTTGTAATACAAGGCAGTCTTGTTTATATCTACCCTCGTATTCATAATCAACTTTGCTTAGTCAGTTTAAGTACATTAACACATTCTCATCACCTTTTACTTCCGTCCATATAAATAGTAAATGGTTTAAGCTAATCGGATTTACGCGTCCAATATGCGTAGAGCGGAAATTTTCAAACGAGTGAACTTTGCCCTCAGGATTTCCCAATTGTATCTACTTTCTAGTCTATTAGGTGTTTACTGAAGTTCTAAGGCGTACGTCGTGTCGATTGTTCCTTCCGGAAAAAAAGTTGGAACGTTCTTTGTATCTGAACGGAAGATACAATTTTCACAGTTTTCTCATGCTTAGTTGTCGTTTCTATAATTAATTGGAAGCACGCGAATTTCGAGAACTAGTTTATATTATGATTGGGAAGTATTTATATCAAATGGCAGGCGTCTTGTTGGTTTTCATTAGCCCTTTAGTTGACTTCAGGCTTCACAGAGGGGAAGAAACATCAAGTCGAAAAAAGTCGATAGGGGGGAGGGGGAACAGAAGAGTGTTTCAAAGATGTAAAAGAGACAAAAACAAAGGTAGAACAAAGGTGAGGTGAGTACTGTGAAAGTAGTCCAATATGGCATAGAGTGAGGTGATGGTAGTTTGAAGTGAGAAGTCAACTGCCAGTCAATAGACTTCTTTGCCGTATGAATATACGTTGCCTAGGGTGCACCACGTGAAGGTAAGTCTATCGCACACCCCATGATTGGGAAGTAATCTTCTAGATTTATAAAGAAAGAGGATATGTGAATAAACTCGGTAGGCACCCCTCTCCCTTGCTCATTACAGTTTCTAAAATCTTCACGGGCTACCTGATTTTTAGATTCTCATCGCGATTCCTGATTATCTTTTGATCGATCAATGTATGTTCGTCTATGCTGTTAATATATTGATTTTTGTCTTGGTTATTTTACTCATTCCTGAACATTTGAGTGTCTGTGAATCTGTATTGGGTTACATTTCAGTCTACTTGTAGGTCGGATTTACAATGGCATCTGATTTTACCTTCATATGACCAGTTCTTATACACCATAAGTAACCATTGTTGAGGTAAAATCCATCTGGAAGGAATTTCTCTCCCGTCACCTTCAATCTTTGAGTCCTAACCAGTAGCCTTAGCATCAATTAATTTTTTATTTAAACTATTTGTGCACTCAAGTGCAAAGCATTTGTACGTCAGAAGTGTATCGATTTTCTTTGCTGAGTATACTTTACTGTTGAAATGGGTTTATCGATTTTTGTTTCCTTCCCAAAATACGTTTCTGTAAGCTCTCTGGTTTATTTCATTAACACGCCAATCCTAGCAGTTTAGCTAACATATGACTTACAAGTTCTTTGTTAAAAGAAGTTACGAACCAGTTTGAGGATGTTCCTCTTAGTTAGCTATTAATCCAAGGTTTTTAAGTCCTTTTCATTTATTTTAATAGCCCCAGATGTCGGTACTCATGAAAATATATATGGTGATGACGTAAGCACTATTTTCTCCATGACAATTTTGCTTGCGCGTAGATGAGTTCGTGCCCAAGCGACTGCATGTTTATACAATTTTTATTAGTCAAGCGATATCATCTCTCTGTTCCACTTTTATCGTGTTCTGTCTCGATTTCACTCTTACTCATAAGCATTGATTTGGCAGACGCACGCGACTTGCTCTTTCTGTACCACCAGGTTTTTATTATTATAGATTTGGGGGTTCTCGTAAAAGATGTGAATACATAAAATCTAGCTTTCGCTGTATTTTTTCCCCCATGAGAAAACAGATTTACTGTAGCTCATGGCGTTTTGAGTGTTACTAGCTTCTCTTATTTTATATATATATATATATTGCACTTTCTTCTTTGCCCTTGTTTAATTTGAGATCTGAAATTAGGCATGGATTGGCGCTCATTTCCATGAGCTGCTTTGTGTATTTGTTTGCAGATCTAGTTCCAACAGGAATCAGAAGCAAGGGGAAAAGATATCTGCACATTTGGTAACTACTTTGTAATTACCAAATGTGAACTGTGTAACCATTTATGGATGAGTAGGCGATTGAAACATCAGCACATCAATTTAGGGTCACCTGATTCGAGGTAAGAATAGCAGTTAGTGTGTGTGATGCGAGCAAGGACAGAGCTGAAAACGAAGAACTCAAATTCTGCCACCAATTTGGCAGTTATACTCAACCAATGCGGTTGGTCATCTCCTTTACTGGGTGTGTGTGTGTGTGTGTGTATTGATGTTATCTAGCACGTGGTCTCTAACTCCACAAACAATTGCTTAATCATTGTAATGCCTGAGTATACACCTATGACTTCTTACATGTTACAAAATCTTGCTCTTAACCAAATACCTAGTCTTTCATTTCCAACTTTATCCCTACCTTTAGATCTCCTTGTTTCAATGCTCGCGGATGACACGAGCAGTTATTGGATTGGTTTATTCCGAAATGACAGCGCCCATCAGTGGTCGAATCCTACTCAACCTGCAGTTCTTTTCACAAATTGGATGGCTGGAGAACCTAGAAGACTCAAAACAGTAAATCATTTTTTTTTCTCGTATTGAAAACGTATAAGCACACAGAAAGAAGTTACCTTTCGTTAGGTGACTTGGAGAGATTAATTATCTCCTAGTTCTTATCCAAATTTAAGCTCTACATCTCAGTCATTTGGTGTTTAAGCTCGCGAAAATTGCTACTTCTATGTAAGGAGTAAGTAAGTGAATAAGTAAAAGCTTGGTATCTTAGAGACTAGAGAGTCCAGCTAATCCTCCACCTACCTCAAATTTTTCGTTCATGACTACCCAGCCAAGATAGGGAGAAAAGGATGACGTTTGTCGAAGTCTTTTATTGGAAACAGAAGGGAAGCCTAGTTGGGGAGGTGGGGGTGGGGGAGAGACTTGGGTTTGCGAAGATGTGCGTGGGTGTGTGAAATCGGTTACCTATAAATTGCATACATCGCATGATAGTCTACGAACAGAAGGACGCTAATGATCACAGCGGAATGTGTGAAGTCTTCCCTCATCTATTATTCGAGCTGGTTCATTGTGGCCGCATATATTAATACGGCCATATCAGTACTATCCTAAGTGCAATATTGTTGTATCGATTATGGAATATGGATTTTTGAAGCCTATTTTTTCGCAACTACTAGTTTAGGCTACTGACGGAAATTAATTTTATATTCATATCCGATTTGCGCTTGCATCTTTTTCTCTTAAGATATAGTCTTCCATTCTACTTGATAAAATCGTACGAAATGTTTTACTGATCCGATTCGTGCTGTTGAAGCCATTTTCGAATTCATTGGAGTCATCGTAGGTTAATGAAATTTTAAAATTGATTCATGTCGATCGACCCGTCTGTAATTTTTTTAATTTCGGGCAGATTTATTGTCATGGCTTCCAACGCAGTCCTCTATGACTTTTGATTCATCATTTAAGAAATTAGCACTTTGGAATCATAAATTTGTCTTTAATTTGGAATCCAATCATACAAAATACTGTAATTATGATGGACAATTGCGAAAAAAAAAACACGCCAATAGATATTCGCAGTGAACCCGAAATAGCAGACTTCAGGTTGCAGAATGAGTAAAAAATCACACATAAACACAGCGAAATTGTTTAGGTAATAGGCAATAAATGAATCAGCGCACGTTCATCTCTTTACCTAGGCCCTCAAGTAGGTGTTTCGATGTTATTACCAAATTATTGGGCAACTTTGGGTTTATCAATTAAGCGTAATAAGGCCAATGTAATACAAACTCATAAGATAGGAGGAGGGGCATCTGTTTTCCTCCTATAAAAAAGAACTTTTCATATCAAATAACAGGTTTTATAATGGTTATCATTAGCACTTTAGTTGACTTCAGGTTTCACAGAGGAGGGGGACTCCAAGGGGTACAAAAATTCGAATGCGGGG